TTAGCAAAATTTGAAATCAGACACAAACTCATACATGAGCTATGTCATGTACTCAGCTAACAGAAGACATCTAGTTAAGTGCTCTGGAGGTTGTGCTGTATGAACTGCATAGGAAAAAAAATGCATTGCTATTTACTAAGTGGTAAGAGTTAGATGATCATTTCTGTTTTCTTCAAGTTATGAATTTTTCTTAGGCTGTTACTTCATTCAGTATGCACTGTAAGTTCTGAGCTGCAAAACCATGAAATACAACTAATACAGCTGAGTCTGTTTGTGTATTTAGAACATGTTGTGTCCAGCAATGGATTTGCAGATTGCAGGGTTTTTTTCTGCTTTTTATTGTTTATCATCCTATGTGCTAGAAATCTGTATTTGAGCAAGCCCTGCTAGCTGCAAAAACAAAATGTGGCTGTTGTAGACAGCACATAGAACCATAGAGCTGGTGTCTTTTTAAGCAGTATTTTTAAACTGTGTTTAAACGTTTGAGTGTTTAAGCACACTAACCCTCTGGCAAATATAAATCTGGGGAGAAGGGAATAGTTGCTGGTGCTTTCTGGCAAGGCTTTGCTTCTCTGCAAGCTGCATTTTGCATGCTTCTCTTTTGTTACCATTTCCAAATATGACAAAGGAATAAAAATCCAGTGTCATTTGGAAAGAAATAAATCAGAAGGAACAGTTGAAGAAAAAACTTGGTGGATGGTTGCATGGCAGCTTTCTTCTTCAGGCCCTGCCCCTATATGTTTTTACAATGCTAATTTAGTCTAACAATAATAATAAAAGACTAACTCACAAAGGATCACCTTCCTGCTGATGGAAGTGCTGGAAGGGCACTAAAAGGCAGCCCTTGCCCCAAAGCAGTTGTGCAGGTGTAGCTGTTAAGTCCCAACCCAGCAGTGCCCTCAGGCATTCACAAAGGGCATTGCCACACTCTCTTCTGCCTGTATTGGTTTTCACTCTTCATTTGTGCACTTAGTAATGACAAGTGCTTTCGATAGCTGAGTGTGACTTTTTGTCCTTTCTTTTGTCTGTTTTTAAAGGCCAGATAGATACCACAGTGAATAGAAGCAATTTATCACTTCCCTAATTGTGCTTAACACTTGCATGTGGAAAGTGATGTCAGGAGGAGTGTTGGATTACCTTGCTGTATTCAGTCTTATAAAAAAATCAGTGTCAGGATAGTTCTGTGCATTTCTCTTGCTTTCCAGTTGCCATTTGAATGTAGGTTGAAACAAATCCATGTAAATACACTGCTCCGTTTTTCAAACTGCTATAACCAAAGATAATTGATAAACAGAATCATAGAATCCTTAGAGTTGGAAGTGACCTTTAAAGGCCATCTATGGCCCTGCAATGAACAGGGACACCACAGCTAGATAGGGTTGCTGAAAGCTCCATCCAGCCTGGTCTTGAATGTCTCCATGGATGGGCAGTGCAACCTACCTGTTCCAGTGCACTAAGAGCTACAGCTCCAACAAGCACCAAGTACCTTGAATGTGCTTGCAACTCAGTTGGTAGCAAACATAACTCTGCATTCTTATAATCCTTTCCCTGTATTCCCATTGGACCTTGCTTATTTCTCTCTTCTGCCACTTGATGGTGTATTGCTTCAGGATATTGGATAGTAAGTTTATTTCTGTATAATACCACTTGGATAGGAGAAAGGAGAATATGCTATCACAAGGCTGGCCTACTGGAGAAGACAGATACTGTTTTCATAGTGCAGGAGAGCCATCAGAACATCCTAGTCACATGAGAATGGGAGAAGGAATTTTGCTGTTCTGTATCTCCTACCTTTAAATAGATATGATTATTTCTTTTTACTGTCGAACTTCAGCATATATTGGTAGTATCCGTAACAATGTTCATTTTACTTCTTTGTTCTAGAGCTGCATTTTTTCCAGCTCTTTTCAGGTGTTAAAATGTCAGCATAACTTTTCTTATATATTTTCTTGTGTTCTGCAGAGATGGCATTGCCAAGTTATGGTGGTTTGGGTTTTTTTTTCCTTTTTTTTTTTCCTGCATATGTAAATGAAAGCTAATCATTAGTTCCTTTATTTTGCAACAACTTGTCATTGATGGTATTCTGCAGGAATAAACACTTCTGTATGTTCAACTGTTAAAGAGTAATCAAAGTATTTCTATAACAAACACAGAAATATTCATGGCATCCTCACAGGGAGTATGCAGTTGTTAGACAATCGCTCTTGGAATTCTAATGAGCAGGAAAGAAAAAATGGGAATAAGGTGTCGGAAGAAATGTCTTTCTGGTATCTTGTATATATAATTAACTTAGGTTTTAAAAATTATATATTTATATATATGTATTTAATTTGAGATCAAGATGCCCTAAAATGTGTTAAATTTCAGTCATTGCTTTTTTCTTAGCTTCTTACGTATTTAGTGAAATTGG